CGGGGCATGGGGTCCCCCACGCATGGCAGCTGTCCAGGATGGCGTCGCTTGGAAACTGCTCGGGATTGGGCAGAATTTATTTTTAAAAGACTTGGTTCATTTGTATCGTCACAAATAAGTTGTAAATTAGGATTTATTTATTAGAGGAATTTTCAGGTGATTTTTTAGAATGATCCAATCTTGAAAATGGAATTAATAAACACTTTGAAATGCAGGAAGGCTGTTTTCTTTCCTCAGTGAACATTTGGGTGCTTGCCACATGCGTGTCATGCGCCCTGGGGACACAGCCATCATGGGACAGGAGGGAGGGAGAATCAGGTGAACCAGCAGGAGAGGGCCGTTTCAGCTGTCGGGACAAGAGCCGGCAGGGCTGAAAGCCGCCTTGGGTAAGAGGGTGTGGGAGACAGCAGAGAGCCGCGTGGTCAGGCAGAGAGGGACAGCAGAACCAGGCCCCAGCGTGGCCAAGGTCAGTGGCAGAAAGGAGCAGGAAGTGAGGTCGGAGGATGGGGGCCGGGTCACGGGGTCCTGTGGGCCATCGTAAGGTCTTCGGCTTTTCCTCTTCCCTTCTTTAAAACCCACGGGATAGTTAGTGCGGATTCTGTTGGGATTTTTGCCAGTAGCTTCTGTGTCTATAAAGGTGGTACTTGGCGATAAATAACAATAATGTAATTTCAGTGACTCAAATAGAAGTTGATTTTTCTCAGTAACAAGATGTCAGAGGCTGGCGATGGGCACTGATACAGCGGCTGGACGGTGACCATGACCTGTCCCTGTGTGCTAGATGCCTCGTCCTCGGGGCGACTCCGACAACAGCAGGTCATCCACATCAGGCGACTGAGCAGAGGCCACGGTCGGGCCATAGTTCTGTGCCTTCCACCAGCAGCCAAAGGCCTTCCAGCCCTGCAGCCGACCTTCCCTCTCAGGGTGGAGGTGGGGGTTACAGAGTGCCGTTTTCCGGGCAGTTTGGGCCCTGCCAACCTAACAGGCTCTGACGGGGCCCCAGCTGAGGAACAGGACCATGCTTCTCCCCCCATCTGGAGGGGACGGCAGCACCTGTCTGGCTGCCCAGAGCCCGCTTTCAGACATGGGCCACCATCCACCTTCGCCCGGGGCCTCGGTGTTCCCCTGAGGGAAGGGAGGGCCGCTGATGCCCAGTGTCAGCCTGGTCCCTTCTCATGTCTACGGGCAGCTCGGGGGCAGGAAGCACTCCTCCCGCTCCTGCTGCAAAATGTCTCTGAGTCTCAACTTCCAGTCAAGTTGGCAGAGCAGGTAAACGCTGTGCTCGTCCCCTCCCACGGCCACACCCAAGTTACAGCCAAACTCAGAACAGGCACCCTGGAGAACCACCTGAAGCCCAGCTGAATGGAACCGTCTTACAACTAAGGACGTAGAGAAGAAGCCATGTCAAGGCCGAATATTGAATGTCAACTGGAATTGAAAAATAAATTTTATTTTAATTTTTTAAAAGATTTTATTGGGGAATCGGGGAAGGGGAACCGACAAATTGCTGTCCTTTTGTTCTTCAGTCTAGTTGTGGAGGACGTCGCTTCACTGGCCCATGTTGGTATTATTGTGCTCTT